TCCTCCTCTCTCTCTCTCTCTCTCTCTCTCTCTCTCTCATGTTGATCATCATAGCCGTTTGTTCCGGCGAATAATTACTCAATATACATCCGAGATTATTTCCGCGCGGAAGAAAAGCATAATGAAGGTCACGGGGTGAATTAAATCGGAATTGCCTCGATAGTATTCAACGGGATATTCCCGACGATGCTAAATGGAAAAGTATAAACGTAAAAATCGAACTTTTAGGATCAAGCAAAAATAATCGGTCAGTGATGAAAGTAAAATGTTAATTTAGGCATAAAAATAACGTAAGAATTAACGTAATCAGATTGTTGCCGTTAATTGGCAGGGCTGGAGGACCTGTTATTACGGAGCCGGCGTGATCGGCGTGATCATCGCAATTCTCACAGGCTTGACGCTAACGGAGCCGGAAAGGAAGACGATCGGTGAGGAGACGACCAGCGACGGGAAGCAAGTATCGGTTTGGAAAGTGCTACTGCAACCGCGCATTATTCTCTTATGCCTCGCCGCCAGCATCAGACATTGCGGTAAAGGGCAATACCTTGACGCGAAAGGATTGAGATACATATCGAGGGTACATTAGCGATCTACGAGTTTACATTAATCCGACGAATTCGCCTCGCCGTGATATATACTTACTCTCTTCCCTCTGAATATCTTGCCTAATGAGACTAAAAATCTGTAAAATTTGAAATTCACATTCGATTTTTGAAGAGGGAAATTAATCGCGATACCTATCCTGATACCCTACCTATCCTGACCCAAATAGCTGTAATTAAGTCTCTCTTATCAGAGACATCTTGATATTATTTATACCATAAATTTATATATATTTTAATTATATCTGAAATTATATATTTCATTCGAAAACAAATTTCGCACATCAGCACGGACAACAACTCCGTTCCATTTTCTCGGAAAATTTCCATCGGCAATGGAAAGTCCTGTTTCCCTCTTCAATCGAGTGATTCACTTCAATCACTCCAATCTATATCACAATCTCTTTCCAATCGTGCCGTTTGGCGCAAATAGGATTAAATTGTCGCTTTTCTTTTCCAGGCGGCATGTGTTTCGCCTACAATTGCGATCTGTACTACAGAGACTACTTCCCGGATTACGATCTCGGCTGGTGGCTTTTCGCCGTCACGATCGTCATCGGCAGCATCGGCGTCGTGGTCGGCGGGGTAATCAGCGACAAATTCGTGGCGAAAATGGGAATTCGTTCGCGCGTAGCGTGTTTGACGATCAGCCAGATAATCGCGACGCCGTTCGCATTCGGCTCGGTATACTTCGATCCTCTTTGGGCCATGATCACGTTAGCGATCTCCTATTTTTTCGGTAAGACGCGACGTTTCGCGTCGCGGAACTGAAAGCTGTAAAAAAAACTCCAGCTCAACGACGATCGATGTCGAACGATATATTTATCTCGATCGCCTGATTGACTTGGCGATGATCTTGTCGCTTTGTTTGCAGCTGAAATGTGGTTCGGAATAGTGTTCGCCATTGTCGTGGAAATCGTTCCTCTGAATCTGCGATCGACCACTGTCGGCGTCTTTCTATTCGTCATGAATAACATTGGCGGAAACTTACCAATTCTCGTCGAGCCCACCAGAATGGCCATCGGTTTCCGGGAATCGTTGTATATTTATTACGCTGGCTTCTATGGCATCAGTAAGTAACGGACTGGCAAATTAATTCTTACCGCCACCATATAATCGTATAAACGTAATCCCAATTATGTCATTGGGAACTTTTAATACAAGTCCCGATGACTCTCGTAAAGTTAATTCTCGGTCATAAAATCATTACTATTATACGTACGTATATAAAGCTGACATATCTAAATAAAACAGCTATAAAAAACCAGTAAAAGTCTGCTCTCACGACACTTTGGTCACGGAAGAGAAGCGCGTGGTCGGACGATGGTATCATGATACTTTGTACGTAGGTTCCATTATGTTCTTCCTCACCATGTTCCTAATGGACGGCCCCGCGGAGGTGGAGAAAAAAGTGGACAAGGAGATGGAGCGGACATCTCCGCCGGCTTACGACAATAGCACATTTACCAACGACGATGGCCAATTGCCAACGTTGGAGTTGCCGCGATTTCCGGCACGGCCGCCGATCTACGAACATTCTCGGTTATGAGCCGGAAAAGACTCTCGCTCCAAAGTGTAACTGTAAATAGTGCTTCGAATTATGTATCGAGCTATGTACGCGGGCTAGGTACAAGTTGCGTAAAATTCACGGCGTTAACCCGTATTAATGTTGATCGGAGTTATTGTCTTTCCACGCCGTCGAAAGCTGAAATCGCGTTCGATTTACGTTTCTTTATTTACGGTGGAAAAATACCAGACAGAATATTTGCGATATTTGTTTCTTTTTGCGCCTTTCGCCGGTCAGATGTTGATGGATCAAAGTTCCTCATGCCGGACCGAGACTTGTGAAATTCGTGCGATCGAAGGCGCGATTTGCCAACAGCCGCGATAATTAAGAACTCTATTTCGTTTGAGCGTTGCAAAACGTTCACGCGCGCACGTGTATTACGTAAGACGTTTGATAATGAAGTTTACGAAAAGCTCGATAAATTGAGACAAGATGTGTTCTGCGTCTTTCTTAAAATAGAAATCTGTAATGAAAAATGTACCTGGTGTAATTTTTAATAAAAAAAAAAAAATAATGAAAATTAAAATCTTGATCTATTTATTATTGGAAGAGTTTAAAATAATAATTTACGATCTCGTTAACGTCTATAAGACGTCCTGATATTTCGCAAAATGGTTTACGCACACATTCATGTACACGCACGCACACACACGCGCGCGCGCGCGCGCGCACACGTATGCATGCATTGATATATTCAGTGCGGATTTTGCGATCTCGCAAAAAGTATTTTATTGAGAAAGTCACATAAATAAAGCTAATATTAAGTGGCTAATATTATGGTTTTGGTGTTATCACATGTCATAGACAGCCTGTCGAGTTCACCATGGCGGATATATATAATACAAAACGGTAATGACGCATCATATACATTATACTACACATACGAATCACGCTACGATCGAAACGCTACACACAGGACGTGAGTAATTCTATAGTAACTAGCAGCGCTGAGATTCGCCGTCCAATCTCTATGTACAAATTATTTAATATAAATAAAGACAGAGTCTCTAATTGTAATGTACAAAAGTAATAATCGTGGGCTGTGGGGTTGCGGGGGGAGGGAGGGAGGGAGGGAGTGTCCTTTCGACGGGACACGGCGACGCCTCGACGAAAGACTTTGTCATGAGAAATGCTGTGTACAATATCTACATACAGAGTCGTACGGACGACATATGTTCGACATTCCGCGAATAAATAGCCGTTTACGAGAGTGCACGCCGCGCTGCAACCAGATTCATCCTACCTGCGTGCGTCGAACGATGCTGCCGGCAATTACGTCGACGAACGCGGAGAGGAAACGGACGAAGGAAACGGGAGAGGAGGGGGGAGGGGGAAAGAGGGCGAGAGGGGAGGGGTAAAATACATGGATGCAGCGCGTAAATAAGCATAAAGACTAAAGCCTCCTTTCGGGTTCGGCGAACTCTAATACTTCTCGAGCCAGCTAACACCTGACGACTTAGCGCGATAATATGCTCTTAATACTAAAACGGACAGCCTCGCCGAGAGTAGCGGTTTCACGCGCCGGTTTGCGAGGTCTGCGTACGAACTAGCGTACTTATTTTGATTACAGAGCAAGACAATGACGCAGACGCGACGTCTTCTCGTTTCGGTCGTTTTGCGGCGACGACGTCTCGTCGAGCTTTCGTCGAACGCGCACAGTTTTCGAAATAAACGGTGATTTCGAACGTCCGATTGCACTGCCAAAATTGGCATTGTTCTGCCAAATCTCGTTAATCTCGCGTGAACAAGTGAAAGAGCGGAAGTGTCGTCGGAAGAAAGACGCATTGGACGCGACAATTGGATTCGCACGCATTAGAGCGCTCGGGACGCACACGTTCGCGTCGCTCGGTCTCATTCACATCGCATTGTCCGAAAATAAAAGGCGACGTATAATGTGGGACACGTCTAAGGGGACCGTGACGAATCACAAAAGTGTGTCGATCCGCGTACCGAAACATACGTAAGCCATAAACATACGTAAGTTCTCGTCTCTGGCTACGTTATTTATCTATCTCTCGTTAGTTATCGTCCCGATCGCACGGAGTTCATTGACGAACTTGTACCACGTACGTAAACACAGGCATATTTTACGCTGTCTCCCCCCGTTGCGTCGCGCATATCCCTTCTCCCGTAGGATCACGTCGATCATTGAAAAAACCAATCCTCTCGCGATTTCAACGCGCGGAAATCCGCGCCATCTCGCGAGACTCGTCGCGATTCAACACTCCTCCGTGGACGTGCTGGAGATCTGCGTGCTGGCGCCGCTCGAGAAGCTGCTCCTGCAGGTTTCCACGGCGAGGGCGGTATCCGGCACCTGGACGAACTGCACTTTTTCCTTGGGCCACCTGCTCCTGCCGTAGACGCAGTTGAAGATATTGTAACGATGGTCCATCTCCAAGTGGCTCAAGGTGCTGCTGTGCCGACGCTTCAGCACCTTCTTCGCCATAAGGCTGCGATTGTTCTTGTACGAGAGCTCGCGATGGAAGCAGAAGAACTTGCGCAGCTCCCGCTTCACTCGTCGGGACCGGTAGCCGAAAAGTAATGGGCTCGCGTAGGCGGCCAGGATTAAGAAACTGAGCGCTAACACATCGTATTCGTGCGGGAAAACATAGTCCGAGTATTGCGGCAGGTTTTTCATCACGCTCAACAGCACGTACGGCGACCAGCAGATCAAGCCCATTACAATCACCAGCGCGCTGATCCTGGCTGCCCGCGTCTCCTCGCGGTATCTAAACAGGGAACCGTTGCTGATCCGGTGCTTGAGAGAATTAATGTAACTGCTGGTGCTGCGTACACTAGCCACCCGGTGCAGCGTGCCGGGTTTGCCTGGCGCCGGCGTGATCGTCACGATCGGTGTCAGGAGGCAAGACGAGGATTCCAGGCTACTGTTTCCGACGTTCTCCACGTTTCTGCCAATCGTGTGTGGGTCCAAATTGACATCCAAAACGCCGGATCTCGATAAACGGCGACTAGGTCGTCTCGATCTTTTGTTTTCCGTCGAGTTCGAACCGCTCGAAGTCAAAATTTCGTTCCGCGCCTGTTCTCGTTCCGTCGTCTTGGCCGCGACGGAGACCTCCTCGTCAACACGACGAGGATCCATCCTTTCAAAAGAGTCCCGCTCGGGCACTTCCACGTCTTCACGCGGCTCCTTCGTCCTCTCACATCCGACGACCGGCAGGAGATAGTCGGAGCACCGTCGATTCGTGATCTTCCGAGTTATTTTAGGAACTTTCAAAGAGTCAAAGTAATCATAGCGTCGCCCGTCGTTCTCAGATTCGGAGTCGCTCGAGTCCATCCCGGCGATCCAAACGGATGATTCCCTGATGAACTCATCCGTTAAATCGCACGAAGATTTCCGTCTGCGATCCTCCGCTGAATCGCGGAATTTACTCGCGGTGAGGTCTTCGTAAGACGAAACGCCACGTTCCCTCTTAAGATAATTTGCTTGCAAATTCGCCGCTTTCAGGTTATTATCGTTATCCTGACCGCGCGACGATGACGATGACACTTCCACTGGTTGCAGACCCACAGTGAAGACGACGCCTGACGACGTTTTCTCATCACTCGGTCCTGACTGCACGGCATCCGACGATGACGAGAAGGATCTCCGACGTGATATCTGATTGGCCGAGTGCGTAGTCTCGCTCGTCTCGTCGATCGACGAGAGACTCGAGATCTTGGGTATTCTACGGAATTCTTCGGGAAACGGATCGGTGGACTGATTCTGCGGCTTTGCGTAACTATACGGATCCTCGCTGAAGCTGGCCGACGAGAGGATCGGTCGCGAGCCAGTCCTGCGAGTTCTCTCGGAGTTTCGGTGTGCGGCTGAGTAAATGCTGATGTAAATCCAGCAAACACCGGCGAACGGAAGTAGATACGCGAACACACTGTACACGATCGCGTAAATAAGCCCGTAAGTGACGGTGCCATTGTTCAGAGTGTGGAAAATCACTGTGGAATTCTCGAGGGGGCCGACGCCATTATCGATCTTGATCGACTCGATCGTCTTCAGCAACACCGCGACATCGTCGATCTCCTCTTCCTCGCTCGTTCCATTGCCGAAGAACCCGAACGCGGATTCGAACGACGTTTCCGCCGATGCGGTAATGTTCGGTACGAAGACGCGATCGCGATAGGATGAATTTTCTGACAGAGCCGCCGTCGTGCCGCAGGACAGCCAAAGGCTGCGAGGATACGGATTCAAGGAGGCGACCAAGCCAAAGGCCGCCGAGACCAACCATACGGAAACGATCAGCACGGCTGACTTGATCTTGTCGACCCGGGCCCGGTAACGCAATGGGTCCACCACGGCGAAGTACTGGTCGACGGCGATCAGCAGGACCGACAGCACTGACGACGTGGTGACGAGCGCGGTTGCGCCTTCGGATATCGCGCAAATATTACTGGCAGCCGACGTCGACGTCGACGTCGGGCCGAACAGCGACGCGACGTCCTCCGGCGCCGACGTGGACGCTGTCGGCGCGTCTCCTGCCGCCGGGCCGTCCATCATCAGCAACGGGTTCAGCACAGCGCACGTCAACAAATTCGAGACGGTTAGGTTCATCACGAATCTGGAATTGAGACAGAGCAGACCGTCTTCAATATCGAACATTGATAAGGTTCGACAATTGATCGATGATCGAATGAGGGACGAGGGCGACATCGAGATAAGAAAGTACTTTTGTAGTAGAGAGTTGAGTATAAAAAAAAAAAAAAACAAAACGTTTACGAATGAAAAGCAAATTGGAATAGGATAAGGAAAGGAGAGATAGGAGAGACATCTTGTTACATTGCTCTAGTTCATACGTGCCAATTTTGAATTTTCGGTACTTGACATCTCATCAAAACAAGTATAATTTTATAACTTGTTGGCAAAAAGCGACATGAGATGGGAAACTAAGAGATATCAAGAGAAAAGAAAGCGGGAGCCCTACCGTTGTATTTCTCTGCGATGCTTTTAACAGCGATGCATAATTTTGTTGTTATTTTGTAGCGAATACAAACGTCATCAGTTGTATCAAATCGGCTAATATTTTTATTTCCCACGGATTATGTTCGGCGTTTCTGCCAACGTAACAAATTCATCCCGAGAAACGACGGTATTTAAAGGGCTCACGGTGTTTCGTTTCACTTGTTTGCACCATCGATAGACCGACGAACGAATTACGCTTTGAGCTAAGTATAGTTTCAAAATATCGCGTTATTTTGTAAAACAGTGGACGCGTGGAGAGTAAAAGAATTTTTTTTTTTTTCAACGAGAAAAGAAGAGGTAGAAACGAATCGTTACACAGTTTCGAGAGTTGCTACCGTTAATAGCGACGAAACTGAAAACTCTGAAAATACGAGGTTTATTATTACATTCTCGTTGCAACAGTTGCCAGAGTTCGGTACTCGGCGAGTAATTGATTTCCTGGCTCAGCAGGTGGAGGCCTACGTAATAACAATGATAGATCCAGTCCCAGTGGCGCGCAGCTCTATTAATACAGCTTACTAATATCAACTGCAAACATTTGGTTTCGCGGAAATTAGCTTGAGTTCTCGGCCCAATCGAGTTTCAATAAATGGGAGCCGACGTTACGTTCGTCTCGTCGTAAAAACATTACTTACGATCGCGAGACACGACACGAGTTGCGGAGCGAGACTACTACTATTGATTTGCACGAAATTTTATTTGTACAGTAAACAAGGGTACACCGCGTAGTCCTCATACGTCAGTCATCTTTACATCCCGTGCACGCGGTTATTTTTATGCTGCCCGCAAATAGGCCTCGGCCCGTCATTTGCGTGACGGCTAAATTTCCAAATGAAAATTACAAAAAAGGAAGCTGCCTATCTTCTTCCGCATTACGTCACGTCGACAAGGCGAAATCAAATAAAAATAGAGAATATTTAGACCGGCTGGTTCCCACGAATGGCACGAGGAAACGTACGGTCTATAGAAACGACACGTCAAAACCGCGATTTTATTTACGGACGTGATGGAAAACATGCTCATCCGTATACTGAAAAAGAAGAAACGTAGGACGCGCGAATACGAGCGAAAATAATTTTCCTGCTTTAATGAATCAATTCTAGCGTTCTTGAAGCAACCGTATTCACGTAATACGCAATTCTCAAGAAACCCAAAGTACAATTCCCACGAATGAATTCTAATTATAGCCAATAAAAAAAAACAATTCGGAGTACTTCTCAGAGTAATCTTGATTGTACCACGTCCGCGTAGCAAGCAAATATAAATATCGATCGTGCGAACTAACTTCTATTTATTTCGGACCTGCAACACTGCACGCTCCGTCGTCATTTCGTTTTATGGCTCGTAAAACTGTAAAGCTTGGCCGATTATCGACTCGCTATTTGAAAAAAAAAAAGAAAAAAAACCGCCATCGCTATCGACGCGTGCAGGGTTATTAACCTTGGCACGGAGCGCAATAATGCGTGTAATAAACGCATAGCGTTATTTATCGCCGTGGCGTCTCGACGAATATCACACAGCGGAAGTTACGCATGGCGACCCCCTAAATATATTTATTTATCACGTCGGCAGTCGCGCGCACTGATCTTATTTCCGGTTTGGCGCGCGACGCCGCGGACGCCCGAGATTCATAATCGGTCGCGACGCTCGTTTGAGCGTTTTCGTATCCTTTGCGGTCTTCGCGGTTTCCGCAAGAAAGATTGCGCCCGTCATCGCGTATGTCAACGAGCCGCGCGCTAACGAATTTCAAAAACTGTCGGGCTACATGGATTGACGTCGTTCGCGTGACTGACGAGGCCGCTTATCGACGACAGCGCGACAATAATTTTGCAACCGCATACGTCAACGATATTATTTATCTATTTATGCATTATTATCCCTTTTTCCACCGTGGACAAACAAGTGATGGCGCAATATTTCAGAGCCGCTCGAAGTCGACTAACAAAATATTTGGAAAGTGATGAAGTTTGGCAAGATGCCGTTAGATAAAAGTCTTTTGAGGGATCAGTAGGGCAGCGGTGAAGGTCGACGGCGATGTCTCCCCGTTGAAATCGAGAGAACGACACTACGGAGTATTTTCAATTCGAAACTCGTACTCGGGATAGAATGGTCAGTCGTCCACTAACCTGTTGGAGATGGTGCGCAGTCCTGGTCTAACGAGAAACGCAAGTAGAAGTGTCGCGTTGAGGAGAAAGCTGCCGAAGAGCACAAAGCTCCAGGCGACGATCCCCGGATTGTACCACCATCTTTCCAGATTTCCCAGATCCGCAACCGGTCCTCCTCCAATTCCCGTCGCAGCTCCATCCATTCATAAATAATAAATATACCACGGGGCCTGCAACAGAACGTGAACGACGGTTTCGTTAGAATCCGATCTAAATATTCTAATCTCTCGAGATCGAAGATTGATCCCTCGATTAATTTAGCGTGAGATTATTTCGTAATATTAACGTGGCGTGCCAAAGGGGGGAATCGCGAGGGGAATTCGAAGTTAATTTACTCAGAGCGCTTTACGCGAGCTCTAAATCGGAGATCGTTAGGTCGTTAGCGCTTCCTGAACTTCTCGCGCTCGCGTTTCAATTTGTTTCCCAACAACGAACAAAAGGATTTAAACGAGAATTGCGAGAATCGCGCTTTCGAAATGGATCAGTTTCGCGTGATCTCGCGAGGAGATCGAGCGATGGTTTCGATCGCACAACGCACGATGCGCCCTGTAGAGAGTTCCCGTCGACACATATTTTTAGACGGATTTCCCCGTACGCACGTGCTGCAAAAATATCCACGCGGCGGGACACGCGTACACGCGTGTCCACGCGTCGAATTACACGCGCGCGAGAGAGATTGATCGAGATTGCACGATTTTTAAGGAAAAAACGAGAACACATGACGAGAACACACGCGTGGCGGGAAAACGTGTCTTTTGTGCTTTCCTTTGGTTCCGGCGAATCCATTATTATGCTCGCACATGAATAACCGTCCAAACAAATGTGGTCAATTTAAGTAATAAAGGAACGACGAGGACCGAGATTAATGCAATGAAAACAGTTTTGGATTATAACGTATGCGCGTATGCCCGTAATTATTTCTCTTTCTCTCCTCTCGTACCTTTTCTCTCACATTTAAAATTATATTTCCCTGCGGATAATAAAAGAGATTAATTTGAAAAGACGACAGTGAGCTACAGTGCTCGTCACGTGAATATAATTTTCAACGGCGGAAAACACGCTTTTGTTCACCACCGTGGCGGCACTCAAGGCAAACAGAAAGTGCAAAGATATGTAACAGGTTTCGAAAATAAAGTGCGTGACTCCTCTCCCTCCCATTTTTGCCCGATTGACGTCAACTAATGTTTTTCGATTGATATTATCGCGATTCCCTCATTTCTTCTCGCGCTGCTGTTACTTCAATGATCTACCGCGATTAAGTCAATAATCTTTATCACACCCACTCTTTCCCACTTATCTTTCAATCCGGGCGAAGTGTTCGTCGCTCTTCAAGTGCCTGTTTAGACGTCGCGGCGCGATTTTTAATAAAATATATCAAGATAATCATTTTAATATCACACCAATCTCAGATTTCCCGGCACTTGTAGCGCAACGGAAATTGATTATCAAAAGAATTATCTAACGAAGGGAATTTAATCGGCGACCTCTCGTTTAGATTTTACAATATTCGCCTAGGCGAATATTGAATGTCATAAAATTATAACATCAACCGACAATGACTTGAATTATATCATATTCTATTGTAAAAAAAACACACCAAAACTTGCCTAAGAAATAATTAGTTACCGCGGCACAATTATAATCTCGCTTTGATATTCTTTCCTTTCATAAGTAAATGACAAAAAGAGGAAGAGAGAGAATCATCTAATAACGATATCTACATATATCTAATACAGAATGGTACCCTAAATTTTGCAGATAGAATAAAAGGAAAGAGAAAAGCGACATCGACAGAAACGATGTTCATCATGCAGCGATCGGCCTCACACTCGGCTGCTGCAGAGGAGATCTGGCAGAGTTTCAAGATTCGGACCGTCGAGAGGAAGAGAGAAAGAGAATGTCTCGGAGAGACATCAATCTGCACGCTCAAGACAGCCGTTTATTTCCGTTTAGCGAAACTCTCGCGGGAAGTGTCGCTCGCGGAGATCCGATCACGCGACATGGATCCAGCCAACGGATCCAGCGAACGATTCATTATCTGGTTGTATGGTTATCCGATTATATGGTTTTCCGAAATTGTGCTATCGCGTTACGCGCCCGCGTCACGATCTCTCGCGCTCGCGACGACGAGGACGTGCCAATAGAAACAAACAGCGTACCCTCCCCCCCCCGTGATTTTATGGAGAGAGCGATAACAACAGCTGAGAGCCGAGGAGACCATCTCGCACATATATGACGTACGCTCGCGCACTCGTTGCGCAATAAAATACGCAATCCCGCAATCTTTTAACTCGCTCTTATTCCACGGTATCTCTCGAGCTCTTGGCTCCTCAACGCGCGTGAGGGAAACTCCGTTTCGAGCGTACCTTTTATAACCGGTGCCGAGTGTCGCGAGCGACATCATCGCGATATATGTCTCGCAGTAAAAATTCCAGGTCTCGTAAATGTAAGATATTGCGAAAAGATACTGGAAAAAAAAGTCGCACTCTCCTCCTCGTGGCATTCTCGATGGTACAACAAACAGTTGTAGCGTCGTTAACGTCTTCCCATTTTCACTTAAATCACTCGTGTGTTTCTAAGTGAAAAAAGAAAGAAAAAAAAAAAAACAAGTTAATTTGACGTTCTCTCTGATGTGCCGTTTGCTAAGTGTTGAGGATATTATATACAATAAATAAATGCAGATTATCTTTAATTGCCTCTTAATTGAAACAATATTTTCCATTTAAATTCTATATTAAATTCTAATTTTCAAGACACATACGCATTATCTATTTTAATCCGTTCATTTCACTTAGCGTCCGACCGGAAGAAGA